TTTTTTTTTCAACCTGAAAATTGGTTGCATCAACTTATTTACCAGTGCTTATACTCAGTGGCGTCACAAGGGGGGTGCGGCCCGCACCCGGGTGACACCATTGGAGTCATTTTGGTGTCACCCTCCTCTGAAAAGTCAGGCGCTCGGTCAGGGACCGACCGCCCGACAGTATCAGGAGAGAGGAGGGGACCCGGCGGCATACCTTATCCCGCCGGGTAACTGTCCCCTCCTCTCTCTGCCGGCGTCCATCACCAAGATGGCCACCGGGAGGTATCAGAATACTGCAGCGCGTGCACGATGGCGTCGTCACGCGCATGCGTGGTGACACTCTGTTACCTCTCCGGGTGTCACCCAGCCTCGGGACGCCCCCGCTTATACTTATTTATTTTCAAGCACTCAACCAAGAACTAAGATTTTAGTGTCACGTTGAATTCAATGCATTTGACTTGAAAGAGAATTTATTGCATAAAGTCTTTAGAATGTATGTAGTCAAAGCATTATTAGATTAGCACTTTGGCGAGATAAGGAACATGTCCATGTACAGGCATTCAGACAAGCCAAACTAGAAATTACTATCCAGATAAAACTTAGCAATGCTAAAGAGCTAAACAGTATTTTCCCCTACTGTGTTCACATGAGTTTCTATTGCCCTGCAGCGACAAACATTATTCAATGACAAGAGGTGAGGGGTGAAATCAGTCTAGGAAGCCCTAAAACGGCTCCAAGCAATGTAATCGCTCAAAAGAAAGGCTTGCAGAATACTTGTCAAATTTTGCGCTGAGAAGCAAGATATAAAAAAGGCACAACATTTACACAGCGAGGTCTCTAATTTGGTAAGCAAGTTCTGCGGAATAAACTGCAAACAACAGTGCTTCTACTGTGCAGTTCCGTTTACTACTTACAGTCTCTCATAAACATCCACTTCTATAGGTTTGTTTGCGTTGCATAAATGAACATGCAGATTTAAAAAGTACCATAACTTTTTCCTGAGTGCTGACAGGTCCATTAAACTTCAACAGAGGGGGATAAAGCGATGTGATATGTAAATAGAATTTATTGGCTCTTAATCCACTAATCTGTTTTAAAATCCTGGGTAGTTCATGGTTTCCTTGGCAAGAAGATTCCATCTACCTAGAAAAAAGTGTCTAAAGCTGGCCAAACACCAGTAGAATTTTGTTCAAAAATGTTAATTTTTACAACGTTCATTTGATTTATTAATGACAATTGGGGTCTAATTGACGTTAATTTCCGAACAAAGTGACAAATTAAAAAAAACAAAAAGAAACAGCAGGATGGAAATTGTTTTTCATTGCTGAACAAAAGAAATTCTACCCATGAATGTGATTTTTGCTCTGGGCAAATTGTACATATTTTAATGCGCATGTGCTAGGCACATAAGAAACCTGTTAAATACTTCTAGGATTCCATTCAAGTAGAAGGGCTGTACAACATTTTAAGGGCTATTGAATGACATTAATTGACTCAATGATGGCAAGTTTGAATGCTCTGACAAATTATTTTGAATGAACATTCAAGTGAAATTCCAACAGTGTATAGTCAGCTTGTATTAACTAGGTTCACTTAAAAAGAGAACCAGTCACAATGAAACTTGTGTAAGAATCTAATATGCAGTCTTAAAGGATTACAAATCTAGAGGCTTGCATATTAAAGATCTAGATTTGATTACTAATTTTGCTTTATTGCCGTCTGATTTCAAAGCTTGGTTAAGAAAAATCACAGAGATACCATCCTGTCAACTGGCAGACCATACTGTGACAGGAAAGTACATTCAGTACAGGAAACACAGTACTAGGAACAGTGTGAGAAGTCAAGAATATTGAAAAACTGAGATTATTCAGATCCTCGCTTAGTCATTGCTGGTTCCCTTTAAAGTTTTTAAATTGCAGCTAGCAAAAAAAAAAAAATGAACTATATCTGAAATGTGCCAAAGCCACAACTTTCCCTCATCCAGTTTCATAAATCTGTCCAAAACTATATTGAATGCTTTTTTTTATGGGCAACAGCTCCATTTGCATTGCGTCTGTTTTATGTACCTGATGCAAATGGCCAATTTTCACTCTAACTTGTGTTTACTTCAAACACACTGTTAGATTTGCAAGGGGAAGGGGCAATCTATTTTTTCATTTCACCCATATCTGTTGGGAGTATTTGAATTCAATTAACTGAATGTGAAAAGGACTTGTTTAGGTAATTGTCTCCAAGCCTGTATAGTGTAAAGTTTCTCTTATAGGAAATCTTAGACAATGCAAGTAGATGCAATAAAATGCTAACAGGTTCCTGCCTTCCCAAATTCCTTCCCAGTTAGGGCTCATGCACATGAATGTAAATACAGATGTAGGGGCATACAGCCTATCATACTTTTGTATTTAGGGTTCCCAGGAGCCCCAGTTGCTGTGTTTCTGTGGCCATAGGAATCTATTGACAGAATATACAATCACATAGGTGTAAATCTCAAATGCAAAACACTTCCGCATACAGAATACAGTGTATTCCATCATTACATTCCTATGGGCACAAAAACAGCAGCTGGGGCTCCCAGGCACCACAATTACATGTGTACTTTAGGCCAGGGGTCAAAATTTCAAGTCCTGAGCTACTAGCCAGGCCTTAAGAGTTACTCGCCACCAGTTGCCCACCTAACCTCTACCCTCCCGCAGCCTTAAAAGGAGCTCAGTGAAGAGCTCCTGCTGAAAGGAAGTGAGACAGACCAGCAGAAAAAGCAGCTGCTCCCACGAGTCAGGTACGCGATCTGCGACCGCAAGCCTGACAGGAATTTCCACTCGCCTGCACTGCATTTCCACTCGCCAAATGCGAGCAGGCGAGTGGAAATTTTGAGCCCTGCTTTAGGCTGTAGCTCATACACCTATATTTACCTTTGTGTGCATGAACCCTTAGCTCTGTACAGGCGATTTGGTTGCTCAAAGCCAAGCACGACAAAACACTCAAGACAAGGATTCCCATTTGCTTGTCCTGAGCACAACCAAACGCCCACAAGGAATCCCATCCATTTCTATGGCCCTTGTTCACACATGAGCATGTTTTGTCGCACAAAGTTTCCCCATTGAAGCCTATAGAACCAAAAATCTCTCTAAGCTGCCAAAAAGTACCTCATGTAGTTTTTCCAGTGAGAGGCGTTTTTCTGCTTCCGACAAAACACTCAGGTGTGAACATGGGCCAAAGAAATAAAAAGGGATTTCTTATCTTAAGTTTGGTCACGCTTATCTTTGAGAGTGAGTCCCCCGCCCACCCACATACACATGCAAACATGCGTCGGGTGCGCCAACATGCAAAAACGACAGTTACGCATATTGTGCCGCACATGTTAAATATCGCCGCGAACGTCTGAGCGAGAATAATAATTTTAGGGCCATTAATCACTGATAACACTAAACTGATGAGCAGTAAAAACTTTTAAAGCAACACTTATGGCTAATTTTGGGTGTGGTCGTTTTCTGCGATTTCACGGGCACGCACAATTTTAGGGCTGGACATGTTTGATGTCTATTTACCCGACGTGACCCCATCTTTTATATTTTACCAAAAAATTGGGGTGATAAAATGTTTCATAACATTTCATAAGGAAACAGTTTTGTTTTTGTTTTTTAATTTAGGGTACTTTTTTGTTATAGTAAAAAAATTTAATCCCCACAAAAAGAAAGTTCTATCTGTCCCCAAAATAGTATAAAATTAATTTCAGTACAGCATTGCATGACTGAGTAAATGTCAGTCCAAGTACTGCAGCGCTGAATACGGAAAAATTGCCTGGCCAGGAAGGGATTTAACACCCTGGTCTTTAAGTTAAGAACATTTATACAATGAATTGTCTGAATATTAACTTCAATTACACAATCATGAGCGAATGAACTAAGCAAACACGAATTTGCTTTTCACATGACTGGATAAGTTAGTCACACAATTTATTGTATGAACATTCTGAGCCTTATTCTCTCACCAAGGCCTTGTGCATACAATCTTCAGTATGTTAAAGAGCAGTGTGTCCAGCAAGCTTTTACAGAACATTTGAAAAGCTTTTAGCAAGCTTCAAGAGAATGCAAGGTGTGCTGTGAATGGACAAGGGAGATCATATCCTTTGCCTGTCCCTACTCTCGCCTTGTCCATTCACTTTGAAAAAAGGCTTTTTGTGAATGGACTAGGAAGGAGTAAGGGGAGCGTAAATTACATCATCACCGCAATGTAAGAGAGCAGGAACAGTTCGTCACAGCAAAAGGAAGTAGCTGGCTGGCACTAGCATCCGCCATCAGTGAAGCTATGGTTTCTACACTACAGAACAGGGATGGTTACTTAGTACTCGCTGAAGTGAAAGAGCGTGTGGGGCGGCTTCCTGTGAGAGGGGAACCGCTTAGTACATGGCTTTCTGACTGAACGGATGCGAAACAGGACATAGGACTGCCATCTTTAAGAGGTAACACCTTTGTACAGAGCAGAATAAAAAAAAAAAAATCCTGGAATTACACATTAAAGTTGGTTGAAAGCTTTGTAAAGGCTTTGTAAAAGAACAAGGTTCAGTTACAACGGGAAATTAAATCTCTCCTGTTGGTCATTGGACAACAATAAAATCCTGGCATAGTAGGTTCTAGCCTTTCCTCAAACTATTCAAAAATCTAGAAAAAAAAAACCTGTTTGGGTCTGAGCGACGTATGAAAGCCATTCACCTAAGCACTGCCTTTAACAACCCTCTGCAGTGTAATGTCTTATAGAAGACATAATTACAATGTCTGTGAACATAAAACACTTACATTATCCAATGTAGTTTCTACCTTGACAACATTTTAACACGCTTCAACAACATCGCATTATAACATTCCACATTCTCCCAGGGGAAAAAAAAGCACAAATCTGTTTTGTAAAATCATCACAAAGCTCATCTTAATCTGAAAATGGAAAGATAAATCGTGGCATTAGAAGTAATGGGTTTTATACTCAATGGTGTTATGATTATCAGATTAGCATGGCTTTACCTGATACTCATTTGGCCAAAAAGTGCTAACTGCCAGCTCAGCCCTCAGCCACTCTTTTCCAGTCGCACCCGTGACATTCCAGATAGGGTTGGCAAGGGGTCCTTTATTCACCCGTACAAAAATGTTCAAGGTTCCAGGGCTGTCTCTTTTTTGAGTGAAGAGAAGATAGTTGAAGTCAATGCAGTGAGTGTCATTCTCCTTCATGTGAGGAAGCTGTAAGCGAGCCTTCTCTCCAAGATCATGTTTGGACGAGTCCACAATCATGTAGGAACCTTTAAAGAAAGTTAAAGAAATCTTTAAATACAGTGTCTAGAAACAGTGCAAATTTCAACAGCAATATTGCCTTTGCCCTTTACACTAGGGAAATGTTATCTATTTGAGGACATAAACTGTTTTTGCAAACTTTGCATCCTTTTTGTATGACATCTTTAAGCATTGCAAAGAAAGGACAAAAGCATCTCCCCCAAAATATTGTAGCTACATGGACCGCAAGAATCTGATAACAGTGCCAGCATCTGACAGCGCAAGATGCTAATCCCTTGGAACAGAATGCCCTTCATTAAAATGTACATTGCAAAGATCACACCATTCTTTTATGAAATTAAATGGAGGACATGGGATATGGTATGGATTGTTCTTAATGAACCTTGTTCCAAAAGTGGAATTACATATAGCTAAAGTCACTGCCAAAAAAAAAGTGAATATATTAATTTTTATTTTTATTTTTTTTTACTTGTCAAATTATTTTTTAATTATTTTTAGTTTGTCTTTTAACTTTTTACATAGCTCTCTACCACATTGCACAGCTAGTTACAACACCACTTTTACCAATCGCCTGTTTTTCCTAGCAACTCTCTAGACAATAAATCAGCCATGTGCTGATGCATACATATAGCAGCATCCCCTCCCCCCATCAACTAATTATGGGGAGATAAACAAGACAGGTTTGACAGCTTTATTCCAGCTGTTAATATCCCCTCTCTCCCAACTTTCCCATAAATAAGCAGGGCTGGGAACCATCATAAATGCTTTGTCAGGGATATTTAAAACCATGTTCCCCTTTAAGCGCCGCTAAACACTTGGCTGGCTCCTAACCCTGGCTGTCAATGACAGCTAAGGTCTCCACTGACAATTGGAAACCAATCAGAATGGTTCCAGATCATGTGATCACTATGTCAGGTATGACTATGATCACATGCTGGCTGGAGGCTTCACTGTAAACAAAAAAGGAAAGCATTTAAACACCGCCACATTCAGGTTGTAGTAATTTATCTACAGTGACATTGGTTTAATTCAGTAATTAGATTACAGTATTAAGAATAATAAAAATGAAAACTCAGGTGTTCCATTTTTATGCATTTATCCGCTAATAACGAAACTTTGTACCAAAATTAAAACCTCATACGTCCTTAAAAACGTATTAAAATTCCAATCCAACCAAACTTCATTCTTTGCAGCTCCTCTATCAACACCACTGACCCACATCTGCTGAAACACATGGCCCTTTATAAAAACATTTGGAGGCACAGCAAGGATAAAACATTCTTTAATCACAATCAAATCTGGCACAACTTCTTTATGTTCACACCAGCAATCCCAGACAGCTCTACACAATACAGTACATGGTTCAGTCGTGGAGCAAGCACAACCAACATCTCCAATGATTTGCAAGTCTCATAAACCAATATTTTATTCCCAATAAAAAATACAAAAAGATATGAAATGTTGAAACTGAGCAAATGTACCGTTTGTAGAAAAAATAAGGCAATTTAGGGCGCCAACACATCCATGTTTACCATGGTGTAGCATTCCCTCTTCTTTTAACAATACTAACAATACTCTGTAAACATCTGGGAACTAAGACCAGTTGCTGGAGGAACATTGTCCCATTCTTGCCTAATATAGGATTCTAACTGTTCAATAGTCTTAGGTCTTTTGTCGTATTTACCATTTAAAGATGTCAAATATTTTCAATTTGTGAAAGGTCTGGACTGCAGACAGCCCAGTTAAGAATCCGATCATCTTTAGTGTACTTTTCAGCTGTCCCTTCTGCTCTGGTGCGGAGGGACAGCTGAAAATTACACGGAGTCTGTGCAGGTGCACGCTGCTCCATAGACTTACCTTGCATCTCTCCTCGTCCCCCTGGCCGAACATCTGAAGTGTGCATGCGCCCGCCCCAAGAACCTTTGCGGCTGCCCGAGATTATTCAGATGTTTGGATGGCAGCATGCGGCGAAGACACAGGTAAGTGTAAACCAGTTTGAAAAGGATTTTAAGGGGTTTTTTTGTATATATCAACTGCTTGCTAGCAGTAGATATATGCAAAAGACGCTGATGGTTTATTAACTGTTAAAGCAAAAAGACTATTCTACTACAAAGTTGTCATAGATGCAGTTCAGCATTATCCTACTGAAATATGCAAGGCACTGTTCTCTTCTGCCATGCTACAACTCTCTCTCCCTCTCCCTCAGCTCTTCGCAGAGAAGCTTCCATTTACCTTACAAGGCTGATCACACGTGCCCCTTCATTTAGGCAGAAGGGCCACTACTTGATTAAACACATTCTATTAATCCGGGGTTCGACTTTGGAGTAACAGCTCCTTGAGATAGCTTATCTACCTGCTATAGATAACCGCCTTGCTTCCCTGCGAGGAGGCGCTTTGTGTATCAAATAACAACTTCTACATACAATGTCTTGATTCTGCTTCTACGCTATGTAAAACCAATAAAATACTTTGGAATTGAAAAAACATAGCCTGCATGTGTCCTAAGTTTTTCTTTTTTTTTTTTAAAAAAAACCTTAGTATTGTTCAACAGTTTTATTTTGCAAAAGTTAGAAATTTCAATGTAAAAAAAAATGTAGGTATGCAAATTAGCCATAGCATTTTTTGTCAAATTAGCAAACACTGCTATATGTGACTTGGGCATCTAGGCATACATTACCTCTAGGCATAAAAGACTAACAACCTGCTCAGAAGAAAAACTTCTGAACCTTATCAAGAAGAAAGCATAGGCGGGGATAAAACCCATTTTACAAATGAATTGTCATTTTTTTTTTCCCTTTAAAATTTGCAGTGACTGTTTGCAACACCACAGGAGATTAACAATGCTGTATTTATTTCTCTTTTCAGAAGAGTAGTGTACATTAATCCTACTGACTCCAAATATACACAAAGCACAAGTGGCATACCATAGTTATAAAATTACCTTAACATCCCCCTTCAATAAGCAGCCATTAGCACAGAGGTTAGATTACAAAGCTAATTCCTTTCAGTGAACTAGTTTCTGGTTTGCTGAAGCTCAGATGTTCACTGGCACTTCATTTATGCAGAGACTTTGTTAAGTCAATTCAATGTGGTTTATTTCCTCTAATTCAGAGGTAGAATTTGACTAAACATGTTATTCTATCTTTCTGTGTATTTGTGAAAATGTCTCCGCAACACATAGCCATTTTAATTGTTATGTGCAAAAATAGTGTATAAAAAATATTTCTGATTTTCTTTTTGTAAGAAAAAGGAAAGCATAAAGCATGGAAGAATGGAAAAGTTCCATTTCACCCTCTGTGGTCCCAGGATACAGTGCTCTCAAAGCTTATTTCTCCTAGACAAAAGTGTTTGTTGCCTCGGTGAATCCATCAGATGGAGCCATTGCCAGATAACCTGTATATTTAGTTGAAACCAGGAAGAAAAATGTCTTTGTCAAAGCTCCTGAATGCAATTGTTGTCATTCTCTCTTGAATAGGTGTTCTAGGACAAGGTAATAGCACTGGGAAGCAAAAATGAAAAAAAAACAAAAAAAAACTGTGGTCAATGGAAACATTATCATGTGTGACCCAAGACATTTGTGACTCTTTCGTTGCTGGAAGTCTATTGCGCTAGTGTATTTTTTACTAAATGCACATTTTAAAATGATTCTAACCTTTTTGCATGAACTTTTTTTTACAGTAAGCAAGTTACATTTCTACTTGCTATTCCATATTTTGATTATTGAATTCATATACCAATTCAAAAATGCTCCCTCTAATGATCATCTGTATATTTAGGAATCTGAGTTAATGATTCTAATTGGACATATAATTAAAATTCACACTTTACATGATTCAATAGAGCACGTCAGCATTTCCTAATCACATCATGGAGTGGAAAAATAACTTTCATTCCAGCAACACATTAGGATTGATTGGTTTTGTAAAATATAGTCATAAATGTCATCATACGTAATTTGTTTTAAAATTATTCTGTTGATTCGAGTTCTCCATATCATACGTAATTCTAAAGACTATAACCAAGAATGAGACCGCCACTCCTTAGCCTAAATGTCAATAAATCTTTATTAACGGTGACAAGAAGTCAGGAGAAATAGCCAATACATTTTGGGGGTCAACGTGTTGGCCATTTCTCCTGACTTCTTGTGGTGGTTAATGAAGACTTGCTTGACTTCAGGACCATAGGACGTACTGGTTATGTCCTGATCTTGAAGTGGTTATACAAAGATCACAGCTGCTGCTAGAAATCAGGAGGTGCATTGCTTTTAAGTACAAGTGATCTGGGCAGCAAAGCTGCCCAATCACTTTTTATAGCCTTCGAAGGTAACAGGATTGCCTATGAGCCATAGTATGGACCAAATACATCATAGTTTTGCACTACTGTACAGGCACGCAATTATAAAGCATGATATGTTTGGTATCAAGTTACTCAGCCCGAACTTTACATTTTACCAAAAGATTATTTTGTGTTTGCGTGCACTAAAATGTGTCTATTTTTTCACATTTGATAAACATTTGCGCAAATATTTTGCAGCTACCATTTTCTTCTATAGAGCCTCTGCTTTCAAAAAATATATGTTTGGGGGTCTAAAGTCATTTTCTATCCACAAATGCAGGTTTTAACTTTGTGTGAAAAATAAGAAAAATTTCTCCAGTACTGAAGTGGTTAAACAGTGTGTTTATATTCTTTAGATCACTCCCAAGGTTACGCCAGTTAACTGAGAGCTACCTCCAAAATAGTATCTTCAGACCTTAATTCTGGCCCAACATGCAGCTGCATCCACCCCCTTCGTGTGTGCCTCTTCCCCGAACGTCTTGTTGGGGAGCATGCAACAATACCATTGGTTTCATTCATTCATCAGGACTATATGTCCCATCATGCAAAGCGCCAGCATGTATGCATACTTTGTTTTCAAAATGGGAGCTGCCTGTGTCCACATGCGAGACTCCATAGGACCCTGCAAGGGGAAGGAACCATTCTAAAAATGGGAAGTGGAGTCGGCATAATC